AATTTCTGCCATTGTTAATAAATTTCGTTGTCATCACGTTCTTTGATCACATTCGAACGTGCAGTGTTACAACAACCCAATGCTTATTTTATCCTAGGAATTTAGCTCATGAAGCATTTCTAAAAACACGTTTATACATGATTCTTCTGTCTGTTTTCGTTTTTTTCGGGTGACTTCACCGAGCCGCCGCCTTGTGTCCACATCACGTCTCCGAGAGTTCGGTGACGTGGCAGTTCAGGCCGGCTTGCTTAGCTGGAGATGAAATCTGCAATGTTATTTGCCGGTGTGGCTATCTTGCCACAGTACCGTGCGTGGCTAGCGTGCCACAGTATCGGGCGTGACTTGACTCTCCAAAGTACCGTGCGTGGCTATCTTGCCACAGTACCTACCGTGCGTGGCTAGCTCGCCACAGTATCGTGCGTAACTTGACTGCCCACAGTACCGTGCGTGACTAGCTCGCCACAGTATCGTGCGTGACTAGCTCGCCACAGTATCGTGCGTGACTAGCTCGCAACAGTACCGTGCGTGACTAGCTCGCCACGGTACCGTGCGTGGCTAGCTCGCCACAGTACCGTACGTGGCTAGCTCGCCACAGTATCGTGCGTATTGGTCGTTCTCATCACATGACCGTGCGCTGCAGCTGCCTTGCCGTGGCGTGGTGCAGTGCGTGGGAGACGAGCAGACGTTATCGTGACGTGCAGCGCCTGAGCGCATCTTGCTGTCAGTGCTGCGTTGTACTGGCCTGTCCTTCGCCTTGACCTGCTCGTTTCCTGCCTGGTCTCCTGTGCTGACAATCCTGCTTACATTTTACCTTTTCAGTCAATAGAAATTGCTGTCATGTTGCTGAACAACAGTAGTGAATTTCTCACTTAGGTCCATGCGCGAGGACACATGATCATTCAAGTTCCATATCCATGTTCTTGGATGTTGCTACTTCCCATGATTTAAAAAAATTATGATTTTGAATTCACTGATTGTTCGCGGGGCAGATTTGTTAATTGAGTTTTTGTTTAAACCTTTTGTAAAGTCATCAGTGAGATTATGAATGTAAAACAGACAGATAAAAGATTGATTTTGAAAATTCTACATTGTTTCGTAATTTCTCTGAATGTTGTGTGATGAAATTGACTGCTCCGTAACATATCCCGTTCTACCCTCTTCGACTCGACTCACAGTTGAGATTTTGTTCAGAATTGAAAATAATGCAATGAATTTGTTACTTACAAGCAATGGCTACGTGTCGAAAATAAAATTGCCAATGTTGTACGTTATGTGCGACAATCTTATTTCAATTCTTGGGCCGGCCCTACTGTGTTCAATTAACTGTTCAAAGTAAAACAAACGATATTCTTGCCGCGCTTCACGCAAACGCAGCAAGTAATGTTGCGCCTGCACAGCGGACTGCATGCGTGTTGTCATCGCTCGTTATGGCTCATAGGTCGCCTGTACTCGCCTAAACCTAGATGGCACTCAACGTAAAGTAGATCTCTTGATTGCATGAACTCTACTGCAATGTCCAGCTCGTAGTTCCCACCTCTTTTCATCACTTTTTATTAGTCGATTTTTTTTACATAACTTGCATTACGTTTTTGCTGATGCTCAGCTCTTCAGTATCTTTCATTTTCTGTGTTAAGAGGCAAATGTATTCTTTTTCATTACATATTCTTGACGAACGGTTGACCTTTACTTATGGCACTGGGAAAATTTCCCGGAAACAAATAGAATCTGAAGAATGGAATGGAAACACTTATTTCGTGTTTCCATTCACTCTTACTTTTAATTGCTAGTTCGAGAAATAAAGTAGCGCCTTCAAATAAGTTTCTTTTCTGTAAACATAACTCTATGTCCAATTGATGTTTGGAAGCTCTTACATGTGAGTTGCCGAGCCGCACCTAAAACGGGGCTCGGGGCTTGACGTGGCCACCCGCGTGTTGGTTGCGTACGTCATCAGGATGCGGCGCACGTTCCTACAGCGGGTGCCTCCGCTTTGTCGCCTCATTGAAAACGAAAAATCTCATGTGGCTGTCCATTCTATGGTCTTTGAATACTAACTCTATCATTATTTATTTATATAGAATTTGTAATTGTGGCAAGACTGAAAGGGTTGACCATTGCCTGTGAGTCACGGCATAAGAAGACTCGTCATTAACAAATTGCCCGTGCTGCTTCAGTCCGAAACTATAAATTGCGGCATACATGATTTGTGAGAAATAATTATATTTTTGCACTGCGACTATAGTGTAATAAGAGTTTCTTAGGCAATTTTCACAAAATAATAGCTAACGATAGTAAGATTTCTATAAAAAGGTACTCCTCAGACCGGAAGTGAAATTGCACAAAATGTTGATTTTTGCCCTCTGTTCTCTCATTTACTGGCGACCGAAGCTTCTCTATTTGAAATAATTGCCGCATCCTAGGTCAACCATCGCCTACACAGGCCATTATTTATGATCCCCACAACAATATTCAATAGCGGTTCACTAAACCCGTACAGTCTTTCTATCTATGAAGTCGGGAATGATTACTGTGCGTGGTGGTGCATTTGCCTCCTCTTAATCAGCTGCTTCGCGTGCCCGTACATCTTTGTGCTCACATAAGTGAACTGTTTTAATGCTGCAGAAGTGCTGGTATGTTAGGCGAGAACTTCGTGATGGATGATCCTCTGAGGTATTTTCACACTCCTATAGATGCTGCTTCTTCCGCACTGTTACGAATGATGTAGGTATGGGTTTACTGCAAAATTAACTTACTCGTGAAAAATAACGCTTGTGTTGCTTATATGTTACATGCAAGGCCATCTCTCGCCTCGTATCCATGCTTCTGAGCTAATTTAACTTTTGTTTCGCATTCAGTACGTACCTCACAGTTTAGATTATCAGGATTGATGAACAAGAGTTTATTACATGTTATGATTGAATAAATGATTGACATCTTTCATTTGTCAGTGTCTCGGATTATTTTTATCGGCAATGTAATTCTTGCTTAATTCCCCGTATCACGGTGACCCTAAGGATTAGCGCTAAATGAACTTGGTTCTTACTCGGGTTCACGTAATTTTCTTGCTCTTTAGACCTTGAATAACATCTGTTCCCGGTAATCACGCTACAGATTCTCATGCGCATTACGTTGTTAGGTTTCGGGCTCCTGCATTAAACCTGGACCGGCCGTAAAAATGCAATTTTTGCGTGTAACGATATATCTAATCGATGAAAGAGTTCTTCATCGAAATGTCCCGCCTGAAAATTCAGTGCGGTAGGGGTCATCGTTCTAATATGCGGTAGAGCAGGTAATATCACTTATCACATCACAGGATCTTGATTCCGGGAAATTATTTACAGATTCTCATGCGCATTACGTTGTTAGGTTTCGGGCTCCTGCATTAAACCTGGACCGGCCGTAAAAATGCAATTTTTGCGTGTAACGATATATCTAATCGATGAAAGAGTTCTTCATCGAAAAGTCCCGCCTGAAAATTCAGTGCGGTAGAGGTCATCGTTCTAATATGTTGTAGAGCAGGTAATATCACTTATCACATCACAGGATCTTGATTCCGGGAAATTATTTAGACTAATTTTAGCACGTGACCTCCAATCGAAGCGGAAATGGTATTACAGTATTGTGAAATGTTTGATTTTACGTTCGTCACGCCACTGATATAGGTACATAGTTTTCCCGATCACATATTTATCATGATAAACCAGTCACAGAGATTCACTTGTCCGCTCACCAGCTAAAGAATTTTGACATACAGTTCATAAATAATATCCTGACATCTTTATCATCATACTGAAATTACTGTTTGAATGAAAGGTTTCCTCAATAAACGTGGTATGTTTGTTGGATTTATTTGAACCTGGGCCTGCGTCTGTCACCATATCTGGAGATAGCGCATATCAGCGACGATAGCGAGGTGACCGTTTCTGATAACGTACCTCCAATCAACACAATCGCATCGCTTCAGAGCCGGCATAATATTAGCTCAAATAATTGATGAATCTAATACCTGTATATTTATTGAAGAAATCTCTAGTGTATGCGTCAAGTGTCTCTATTGGAATCACACATTGTAACGGATGTTGGTACAAGACCACAGGGGCAGCTTAATTCAAATTTGTTAATGGTTTCATTTCGTGTTATTCAATAGTTTTATTATTAAAAAGGCTTTTAATGGATTTAAGTCGGTTCCCGGTTTTTAAGTTCAATTAGAGCGCGACTTGTCAATAGCAGACGATCGGTGTTTCCTTTCATAAGGTATCAGTAAAAGCTATCTTGCATTATGGCTCTAGTACCATCTTTCAATAAGGTATGAGTATAACAAATTTCTTACTAGGTTATTCATGATTTTGACGAATTTCTAAAATTACATGTCGCTAAAGAAACCTTTAATGTTCTGGCAGTGCACTTTCTGTTATGGTTATTCCTGTTACTCTATTTTCACTTTGCAACTATTACCATTTTTACTATCGTCATCAGGATATAATCTTGACATGCAGTTTGGCAAAGTTTCATATTACTGTTGCATTTGCCTGTTGAAAATGTCTTGTACAAGTGTTAGTTTATCAGGCACGTGTGGAAAGTATAGAACATGCCACTAGCTGAAATGTTCGTGATAAAATACTGAACAGCACTCACGTAGCAAGGACGACTCTTGACAGCTAATAAACGTACTCAGGTTGCACGAGATGCGCACGTTATTTCTGCACCGGAAGACGTTGCGCTGACTTCGTGCCTCATGTTTTTTGTGTTAATAAATTGCTTTGTTATGCAGATTATTTCTTATAGTTTTGATGGATCAAATAGTTATATGAAAAACAATCTTCCAATCTAGTGTAATAGTTCTTACGACTCTGAATCCGCCCCAAGTGCTGTTTTTATCAATCTTCGAAGAAATATTTGTATTAAAATAAGGTTTCTTAATATTATTTTATTTTATTTGCTTTAGGGCCTGCAGACCCCTTGTATAAATATTGTGTTATTATAACTTTGGATTTTATTTTCAGGCGTCAACCATCGACGGTCGGCGCAAGGGGGCGTGTCTGTTCTGCCAGGAATACTTCATGGATCTCTACCTGCTGGCGGAGCTGAAGACGATAAGCCTTAAGGTCACCACCGTCGACATGCTCAAACCACCGCCTGACTTCAGGTATCGCATCAAAACACTTTGTTTCGTAACTCTAGATCATACACGACCACTTACCTTGAACCGTTATTACTTCGATTTATTTGATGGTCTATTGTTTACTTCGATACTAGTTTATCAAAACTCAAGTGTCTTGTATGAAATGTTATTTTTGAGAGTTCCTGATGCCGCTGGTACATTAGAAATAATTGACTTAAATTAAATTAAGTTAAATTGGAAATTAATCACCATTCAAACATCATGCTAATTTACACTTCTTTAATTAAATAAGTCAAACCTTGTGGTCTATGTGTTTACATTGTGATGCAGCAGCCTTCCATTTGTAGTGGTAGATTAATTTGATTCGATATTTGATTTCAATTAATATTTTACTCGAGTTTTGAACTTTATATTCCTTGATTAGGTCAAACTTTGAGGCGACACCGCCCCCGATTCTGATCGACAGCGGCCTCGCTGTGCTGGAAAATGACAAGATCGAGCGGCACATCATGAAGAATATCCCTGGTGGCCACAACCTCTTCGTGCAGGATAAGGAAGTCGCTAGCAAAATAGAGAACGTCTACAGTGTGAGTTGCTGGCGCTGCTATCGCAGTTTTCCCTTCTGCATCGAAATATATTAGTTATTTTGGTTGAAACAAATTAGCAATAAACTAGGTTAAACTCAAGTTAAAAATTTTAGACTGTTCTAAATTTTAGACTGTTTCCGTTACCTAAGAAAAAATTTTTCTTTTCCTTCTTAGTTTTCTGATTTACTTGATTTTGTTTTTTGATTTGTTCCCGAAATAAATTTCAAAGCTCAGGTGATCATTGAAACATCTATGAGCTATTATTCAGGAAATAAAAAAAGGCTTGTCCTCAATTTCGCCCATTCTCTGTATGGCTCTTAATTGACTCCACTATTCTCCTGATATTTTCGTTCCAGGATTTACGCGAAAACGCTGAAATCCTGATTAATATCTTCTGGAGGCCACAACCTCTTCGTGCAGGATAAGGAAGTCGCTAGCAAAATAGAGAACGTCTACAGTGTGAGTTGCTGGCGCTGCTATCGCAGTTTTGCCTTCTGCAACGAATTATATTAGCCCTTTTGGTTCAAACAAAGCAATAAACTAGGTTAAAAATTGTAGACTGTGTTCCTTTTCGTTGCCTGATGAAAATTTTTTATTTTCCATCTTAGTTTTATGATTTGATTTCGTTCTTTGATTTGTTCCAGAAATAAATTTCAAAGCTCAAGTGATCATTGAAACACATATGAGCTGTCATTCAGGAAATAAAACAAAGCTCAATTTCGCCCATTCTCTGTACCTATTGCTCTTAATTGACTGTCCACTATTCTCCTGATATTCACGTTCCTGGATTTAATCGAAAGCACTTAAATCCTGGTTAATTTCTGATTTCTAACACTTGTGCATAATTCTCTATGATTTTGTAACTTATGTAATAACATTAATACACAGAAATTCAAGCTGATGTTGGTGAAGCGCGACGACGCGTCCCGCAACGTACTGCAGCGTCACCTGCGCGCCATCAACGACCACCTCGCTCAGCGCGACACGCGTTTCCTTACGGGCGACACCATGTGCTGCTTCGACTGCGAGCTCATGCCTAAACTGCAGCACATCCGCGTCGCAGGTGCGGACACTCGTGTGATGTTGACCTGTACCTTGTTGTGCTGAATGTAATGTACAGCCTGGCTATAGACTGTAATGTACAGCCTGGCTATAGACTGTAATATACAGCCTGGCTATAGACTGTAATATACAGCCTGGCTATAGACTGTAATGTACAGCCTGGCTATAGACTGTAATGTACGGCCTGGCTAAAGACTGTAATGTACAGCCTGGCTATAGACTGTAATGTACAGCCTGGCTGTAGACTGTAATGTACGGCCTGGCTATAGACTGTAACATACAGCCTGGCTATAGACTGTAATGTACAGCCTGGCTATAGACTGTAATGTACTGCCTGGCTATAGACTGTAATATACAGCCTGGCTATAGACTGTAATTGCGTTGCGGCTACTCATGTGATGTTGATCTATACTGCGCTGTTGTGTTGACTGCAATATACAGCCTGGCTATAAACTGTAATGTACAGTCAGAGTGACATCCGCGTCACAGGTGCGGCCACTCTTTTCGTACTGAACTTTGTTGATCTGTATGTTGTAGTGTACATCTGGCTATTGACTGTAATGCACAGCCAGAGTAACATCTGAGTCACTGGTGAGGCCACTCTTGCGAGCCTAAACGTTGCTGATTGGTATCTTATGGGCCTTATGTCAACGGCACGACAGTGACTTTACGTACCTAATATCTGAGTTGTGGGTTCAAAAAAAAAATTTCATCTCGGCTGTATAATTTATCGGGTCAAACTTGTCGTGAAGTTTAAATAATTCTGAGAATAATCCTCTTGTCCATATTTTCTATCAGTTTTGTTTATCCGTTTTGTTTTGTTTTTTGTATTATACGTACACATAAGAAAACTCAATTGCTTGCTACTCACGCTAAACATAACTCTTTGTTTAACTTTTTTAATCCTCGTTTATAGGCAAGTACTTCGCGGATTTCGAGATCAGCCCCGAGCTCACCCACTTGTGGAAATACCTGCGCAACCAGTACCAGCTGGACGCGTTCAACCAGAGCTGCCCTGCTGATCAGGACATCATCAACCACTACAAGCAACAGCAGGTGCGGTTTCTTCTCCAGCTCTTTAATCTACGGCCGTATTATCGAAACTCACTTGAGTACATGTAACGGCATATGTACACGTGGCGAAATAAGTACCCGTAGCGGCCTAATTGCGTATTGCTGCCTAAGAACATGTAGCGGCCGAACTCTGTAACTGGTGGGTTTAGCTTGAGAAGCACTCAGTGATAGGTTAACGGAGTTACGAACTCGTAACTATTTTTAAATTGAATGACAAGTGATCCTAAGTTTCCTAGTCATTACTTTATTGATATATTAGATGCTATTCGTTTTATCTATTCTGTATTAACGTTACTCGTATCATAAAATCTTACCTGCAGCACTTCGTCTAATTTATTAAGAACATTGACAGCTTTTGACGACTCTGATTGCTAGATCTCAGTGCCCATCGTGGCACTCGACGCGAAGCAAATAGTTAATAGTTGAGCGTTAGTGAGCTCACAGAGCGAACTCTTTAATGTGGACCCTTCATCGGATTTATTTCCATCGGGATATTTCCAAAATAATTTATCATTGATCCGATCACGAGCCTAAATCTCGTGAAAGACATTTTTATTTCTTCTGAAAAAAGAGAGATGAACGTGATGCTTATGTCGTTGTTTCATTTGGCTCTTCGATTTTATTTTCAGCAATGTAATCGTCGTTCAGAGTATCGGTAATATCCCAGTTTTCAACTATTATGAACTGGTTTCCATCTTGATTGCAACTCTAACTGCCTCACTATTGGTTGAATTTAGTCAATTTTTTACAATGTTCCAATTCGTAATGATACGGTGAAATCTTGTCTTGATCTTTCGGTCTGAATACCAAATTGCTTTGAGAATATCATTTGTAATTTATTTCTAAATAGATACATTCTAGCTGTGCGATGCTGACGTTTGCTTGTGTCCACACCACAGGGAGGACGCATGCAGAAGCATGAAGAGCTGGAGACGCCCACGTTCACCACCTCCATACCGGCCGAGCTCGCGTAGACGTTGGGGCAGGCGCTACGTCTAGCATCTTGGACTTCTATTTTGGTCTCGGTCCAATATTGCCTTATAAATTATAGGATCCTCATTCTTATTTTGGTCTCGGACCATGATTGCCTTATAAATTACATGATCTTCATTCTTATTTTGGCCTCGGTCCAAGATTGCCTTATAAATTACAGGATTTTCATTCATATTTTGGTCTCGGTCCGAGATTGCCTTATAAACTACAGGATCTTCATTCTTATTTTAACCTCGGTCTCAATATGGCTTTGTAATGTAACCCGGATGTCGCTCATATCATCGACCTTATAGGGTTTCAAGAGTTATTTTTCTGTATTAATTGTATACATTAGGTCGTTACAATAATTGGCTATTGAAATCAAGTGATTTTTCCGCAAATTTACTGCTTGTGGGCTGCCAATGATAAAAGGATCAAATTTGGTTGATAATCACTCTTGTTTTTGGAATTTATACAGTTTCTTCGTCACAACATCTTATTGAAATTAATCGTTGTCTCCCTTGTTACTTAAGTTTCGGATGGAAAGTGATTGACCTAAAATGTTATTTTTAGTTTTACTCTCATTGGTTTTTCATAATTTCGTTGTCTGGTGTCATTGGTTTCAAGTTTTTCGTTGTCTGGTGAGGGTGAAGTTCAAATTGTATTTCTCATTACAGTAAAGAATATATTTTTTCTCTTGCGTCATTAGCTGAAATTATTGCAGTGTTCTGAATACATGAAATTGTGCCCTCTCTTTTCAAGCAACGCTAATATTTGCTATTGATGTGGTTGCAAAAGTAGTATCTATTTATTAGATAACAAGATTCATGATGGTATTTTCTAATCTGCATTTGAAAAATTTTAGGCCAGAAGAGGATTAACCTGGATGATTTGTATCCGGATTATTCTTTCGATGACTTTCATGGGATAAATTTGAGATGTCATTTTTTTCCGTCTCATTTATTTGCTTTGGGAAAGAATTTTCTTCTCGTACTTCGAAAAAACACATTCCTCTTGGATTCTACTTGTATTGGTTGTTTTTTTTTTCCTCATTAAGATGGGTGGCAATTGTGTCTTTTGAGGAATAATGATATAGTTAGACTTTTGTATCAGTTAGTGTATGATGAGTGCCTCAGTTCCGCCTGCTACGTCATGTGTCTGCCAGTGCCTTAGTATGTAATCCGGATTCATCTTACATCCCACCTGTTGTTTATTGTGATTGGATTCTTTGTTTCCGCCTTTTTCGTATTGGTGAACCCATTGAATGGAATTAGAAGCTCCAAAATATGTTAAACGAAAGCTTCAGAGGAATCTTTAATTGTCATGTTTATCGTGCTTCTTGTGCAATTAATGACATCCACTGATGCAATTTCTCCTCCATGAGACGCGAACCTTGTGTGATAGGAACTCCTTCAACCGAGGCACTTGGTGCCACTAACTCACCTATAGTGAACTCATGGTGCCGCATACTCTGCTTTTTGCTTCCACTTGTTAAGTGAAAATAATGGTTGAATATCGTCCAAATCAGATATTTGTCATTTATTTAACGTCGATGATCATCTGACCGTTTTTTTTTTTTAACTTCCAAAAATTGTTTGTTTCATCATGTCTCTAGCTGCCATTGAGAATTTTGTTATTCATCAAGAGATCAAGAATACGTATGCTATTTATGCTGAGTAATAATCATCTAATTAGGTACATAAAAAATTGTTGTAATTACGTCTGCTATGGGACCGTAACCATTTAGCTTGCTTAACTTTGTAAAAGATTTAGAGAATTTTTGAATGTTCAACGTTCCTATATAAACTTTTCTGTTTCCGACCTCCCTTTTTTGTTTTTTATTAATTTGAATTCTTGACTAAAATCTATCATTGTTTTACATTTTATTCGAATTTTCTCTCCATAACTAAGAATCCTTCAATGAACATAGCCATTAACAACATTCAGGTGCATAATTTTTCCATCTTTATAAACGGAACAAATTTGTGCTTGAATGCAACGTAGTAAGAATAAAACCTTCAAAAATTATCAGTGATGCTCAGTGTTGCGTCTTCGTACTTATTTTGACCACCTGTTATGCCGTAAGGTGCATTCCGTGTGCTCATTCAAGGTCCAGTTTAGAATTTCTTATAAGCCGTAGTGAATAAAAAAAGATGGATCGCTAAGCCTATGCTTAAGGATTTAATGTTTAATTTTTTCTACTTTTACTGCTGAATTGAAATATTTGATGAGGATTAAGGCATGATTGAACTTGGAATTTCGACTTCCGTAAATTTAATTTTGTTTAGGGAGTCCTTTCTTTGAATTTCCGACGTTAGAAAGTTCAGAAATGTACGTAGCATGAAATTGTGTACTACGGTATCTTTGTTTTTATTCTTCGAGTGAGTTTATTATTGGTTCCGTGTAGTTGATGAACAATATTGAGTGGGTAATACCAATTCAGTTATATATTACAATACAATGATATACATGGAAACATGGCGCGTTTCATTTCCTTCAGTCTGGCGGTTTTATCCACGATATCTCCAAGCTCGTTCTATCTTGCCAGCCTCACCGCGCGTACCATTTGAGACCTTCGACCACTATTGTTGATTAACCTTTCGGCCTATCACCCACAGACATGCCAGGCCAAAACACGCGTCTAAGCACACCAGGAAGCCCTAGAATGATTTCTATTCATTGTTCATGAACGTTCTACCACTGATTTCGTGATGCTCGACTGCATGTCTCAGTTGGGGCAAGAGTCGTCAGGTAGACGAGACTAACCCTCTACCGCCGTATGTCCCTCTCCGGGAACATAACTTTAAACTTCAATTATACGTAAACTATTGAGTGTAGAAACTTGAGGACGTTTGTCCGCATAGTGAAACAAACTTTCAAGATCGGCAAGGAAAGTACGGCTCCGCAAAGACGCTAGTGTGTAGTTTACCCAGATTATTAGTTAGACAAGGGCGGCTACGTTCAGCGGACGGCAGATTACGGACCATCATATCCCAAGACTAGGGCTTAATGAAGAAGTATTAGGGAGCAATCTAGCTCGGTTTTATCAGGAGAAATGAGCGTCTACAAACGCCTTTTCCTTTACTAGATTTTGAGCGAGTTTATTGAAGTATTCAGTTACGTGATGAGCTGAATTTGAAATTACTCGCCTTCATGCTTGCTGCCGTGCGAAAGTATTTTTGCTTCAAGAAAACCTCTGCGAGTACCGTCACTTCAAAATTGAAAGAAAAGAAAAATTTCAACAGTCCATGCCAAATTATGGTGAAACAAAATTATTGCTACGGTTTCATTTGGCTATTATAATAAAAATCAACAGGATTTAATTTCGTTTTACCCTCCATTTTCGTTCATAAGCTCGAGAAAGTTACATTAAAACATCTTTTCGATGGAAATTTAAAAGCGAAGAAAACTCCACAAAAATTCAGCATTTCTCTATTGAAAACGTTTCGGAGACCAGCTCCATCGTCAGTTCGAAACGTTTTCAATAGAGAAATGCTGAATTTTTGTGTAGTTTTCTTCGCTTTTGCTCCATCGTCAGTTCGAAACGTTTTCAATAGAGAAATGCTGAATTTTTGTGGAGTTTTCTTCGCTTTTAAATTTCTAGTGAATCTGCGATTCAAGCAATCTAGTGACATTATCTTTTCGATGCAACTGGACAGGGAATCCGTTTTTCCAGATATCTTATTATTGCATAAACATTCTGAGCCTGGTATTCCTATGATAGATGTTTTCGTACGACCACCAGTTGGCTCTCATTTGAAATTTGTCCACTTTTCAGGGGAAATTTCTGTCTTATTTGACAACCTCGTCCCCAAAGGAGCTCTGACCGCATATGCACGACCGTTCGATTCCAATTGCGATCTGTGAATAACACTCAGAGGTACAATTTAGATCTCGTGTTCCTGATTTGCACATGAAAAATCTCTTAATTTACCAAGCCGCATCTGATGACGTTTTTTCGCTCAAGGTCTAGCTATAAGGCATCTTAACTTCGGTTACAAAAATAGAATAAACCCGTGATTTTACACATGGACATTTTTTCATTTGGTAACTCAATTTACCTTCCTGGCAAGCCGTTACAATGCATATTTATCCGATGAGTTATTACTAATCTAAATGAGTTTTTTATCTTAAATTTAAACAACGAATATATAAGGATTGATTTCTTGGATTATGAACGCTACGATGAAAATAGCCTGTACGTCGCTTATAGAAGTTGTGAGCAAATCGTCGAGCATAAACAAAAGACGTAATCGATTGAAGAATGTTAGTTGACTTTAATCACTCAAATGTTCGGAAGAATTTGAAGCCTTCGTAACCTAAAACTGTGGTTGAATTTCCTAAAATTAGGGTTTATTTCCTGTCTAATGCTGAGCCACAAAATTTCGCCGTGTGTGGTCCCTCTATCATTTCACTTATGAGAGTCAATTAGACGCTTGTGAAAGGAAGGATATATTCCCCATAGTTTAAATTTTAAATGTTCATCATCAAATGAGAATATAAATCAATCGATCCTATGGAATTGGGGAGGAATCAATTTATTTAGAGATCAGTAACGAAGTTATTTTTTCTGTAATCCACATTCGCCTGTGGGACAGGTTGCATTTTAATTCAGAGTAATCGAAAAACGCTCAACTGCGCCAACTCAACCTAACAATGATAATATGATGGGGTTAATTAATTACCCTTTTGTGATTAACGGGACTTCTCGTTCCCGAGCCACTAGGTACAATTTTACAAATAATTGACGGCGGTAAATGTATCCGAAAGGGTCAGGTTTCATTCATATCAGATTAGCCATCTTATTTGTCTGTGCCCCCCAGAAAATGTAAATAGACCAGTTAGAATGTTGGTTTATATAATGTTGAAATCTCATATAGCCCGAGTTCTATATATCGAGGACCAGACAAGAAATATCGAGGTTCAGACAAACTTGGAATCATTTATTGGGAGCCATGGAACGGTTCCGCTTACGGCGTTGGGAGAGGCTCCGACCAAAATGTCAGCAGTTCAGGGTCTTCAGCTCGCTACACAGCAACCCTGAAATACACCTTGTTGCTGCAGAACTAAGCTATTATTGTTTAGTGAGAGGCTTCGAACAAACAGTAATTGATAAACTTCATGATTGGAGACAGCAAATTTTCAGTTGATTACAAATTATTAATTTTTATTTTTTTAACGTTTGATGCTTTAAGTGCTTAAGCAAAGGAATTGCGACCGAAGAGATTATGGGCACGTTTTTCAGGAGAGTTAGGCCAGAATTCGTACAGGGCTATGTCGAACCTTGGAGAGACCCTACAGGAAAGACCTGACATTTTAGGTACAACTACCTACAAAATAGTCACCGTGAATATATGGTACGGAAATAGCTCAGTAATGTGAGCTCTTTGTTTAAATAGTTTTTGAATACTCATACCCTTACTTCCGGAGGGAAATCGTGAGCACATGTTTCACGCAGCTCTCTACCACAATTTTTTAATAAGTCGAGGAAATATTTTCCAAAACATTTTAACTTTATCGTAAATGAGGCGTTTATTCCAAGAATCATTTTTGGAGTCACTTATGCTGCCACTAGACCTTTAGCGCCCGAGTTGCTCACAAGTACAAAAAAAAAAAAACATTTTGAGTGCAATTTTTTTGTATGACATATTTCCAATTGCATCGAAGAATTATTCTTCGTTGGTAAAATTTATTAATTATAAAAAATTTGAAAGACGGTGAATGTCTACATGCATGGAATGTCTACATGCATCATGATGCATGGTCGTAGCGCAGACTGAAACTATATATAGACGACATATCTGGACAATTGGACGAATGAGCTTCACTCACGAACAAAATACGTTAAATATCTGATAATAAAAAGCTGGTAGCATATATTATAATTTACATTTGAATGAAAATAATATGCTCAATTGCTCCACTGAACATATCCAGATATCCTTCGTCTCAATCATATTATTCGAGCTCATTCGATAAAATTCATTCTAGCCATTAGTCAACATCATGTTATGGGAAGTGCCTCGCACTCTTCTTGTCAAATAGTTGCTTCAGGGAGAGCATTTGTTGCGTTTTTCTCCTTATCATATATTCCGATTGGACAACTTCTGCATGCGTGCCCCGGCATGCAGTGAAGGACTTTGTACTCGCCCCGGCCGCCCGTGAAGGACTGCTACGGACGCCCCGGCGTATGCAGTACTATAGGACTGCGTGCACCACCTTTATGTGGTGTAGGACTACATGCACGCTCGGGCATGCATAGTAGGACTGTTGGGCACGACTTTCCCTGCAGAGTTGGAATGTTTCGTACGACCTCCCGTGATGTGTAGGACTGTTTGGCACAACCGTCCATCATGTATAGGACTGTTACGTACGACCTTGTCCAGTGAATAACTATTGCACACGACCTGCCATGTGCATGGCATTTGACTTTTATCGAACAAGATTTTAGCTTATTTTTTAGTACATCGTTATGGAAACTTTTTAGTGGGTTCGTGTTAACAAATTTCACATTCGGAGGACTTGACCACAACTGACCGCTGAATATTGAATACTTGATACATGACCACTGAATTGGCAGAATTGCCAAATTTCAACCAAAAAAGTTCTGTTCTCCATCTATATTGACGTATCTGACATGACACCGCTGTAGCTCTGCCACATTTATAAGAAGTTTAATATGAGATTTTTGAAAACGAAATATTATATGTACAGCGAGACGCTAAAGGACTAGCCGAAAGGTAAAATGATTTTGTAACAAAATATTGCTAAAGTTATTGGACGCGAGGAAATCAGTGTACAAAAGGAGCGCTGATAGCTCAGTTTGCAGCGATCCGTACGCGTTGGACGCTCAAAACGAAGAGCAATTAACCCTGAACAAATGATGAAGGTAAGGGAAGACCACTTCCGTATTGAGTAGAAATTCCTTCTAATTGACTATGGCCTTGAAATATATTTCTCCTTATTGCATCAGTATTCAATTCCACATTTCTCACTTGATGCCTTAGTCATAACTTGGAATGTATTCCAAGTCTTAATAATAAATTTTGATTTACATTGGAAATATTATAATTGCGTTCAACGTTTGCTATACGTAAATTTATCCTCCTCCAACGAATATATTCACTCAAACAGCGGGTTTACATCAATGGTTCATTAAAATCAATCGAGATATTTCTTTAATAAAATGGCTTTCTTGCCAAGTTTTTTGACAGTATTAATTTAAACTATAATCAAGATGTTAATGACGGTCGTTTACCTGGGATCGAACTCCACTCTCCACAGCCCCCAGGTAGCGCTGCTTACTAGCTACGTTCCTTGCCGAGGTGTGAAGCATGAGCCCTGTCATAGCGGCCGGAGCTGCAGGACGAGGCGGTGTGGTGCTTGAGAGCCTCCGGATCTTGATGGTGTTCTGTTAGTGTTTTTGAATTTAAAAGAGGTGTTTAGTATACGCTACCATTGTGTTGTGAGTTTAATTTT